ACTGCGTGCGGGAAGTCTTTGCCATACATAATATGCCTTTCGGCACCGGAGTCGGCGATCAGACGGAGGACGTCGCACGCGACAAGGTGCTCGCCGATGCTGATGAATTTGAACGCGAGACGCATCATTTGACCATCCAGTCTTTGCAGGAGGTCCTCGGTGCCTTCGTACTGCCTTTATCTGTTCTATGTACTGCTCTGCTTGTGATGTCAGTGAATTCAAAGTACTGCGGTTGCCGTTGGTGGGCAAGCGGTGCCGAAAAACCGCCCGAAAATGCACTTGCATGGTTGGCTCCGATCCAACTCTGCTCTGCGCCAGGTGCCAACTGGCCGGCTCCGATCTGGCTCCTCTTCCTTTCGTTCAAACTCGGCTGCGGTACGGGCGTCCCCGGCACGCCGCCCGAGCTGCTGGTTCCGATGCAGCTGGGATTTGCAATGTCAGATAATTTGTCTGTGCGTTTGCCTTCACATTCGCCTTTGTTCGGACATTCGTTGCCCCAGTGGCCCGTTTGGCCTCATTTTCTGCAGGTGTCGTCGGGCAGGCGTTGTGCTTGTTGGCACTAAGAGCCGCTTGAAGTGCCAGGGGTGCGCGCGGGAGGTGTATTGTTGTGGGAGAAGCGGCACTTGTCTCCCATGGTACACTACCCGCATGGGATCCACGCTTCCTTGCCTTTGCTCTTGCCCAATTCGCCTATTGCTGCGGCGCCAGCTAAGATGCTTGTCGGCGATGGCGGGGTGTCGTTGGTTGGCGCGTCGTGCACAAATGCCCACTCGCCCCCCTTTCGCTCAGCCATCTCGTGAATGGCATGGACGCCATTCGGGTACGTATACGACACCATCTCCAAGGTCACTTGGAGTGGCTTGGGCTTATCGATCAGCGTCCGCAGTGAACGAAGAGCTGTTTGTTGTGAGGGTGCGGGACCTACGGCCCGCAGCTCGTCGTAGTCAGTTTTCCACATCACAAGCGCGTGCTGCAATATGGTTTTGACGGTGGCCGGCTCCGGGTCAGTGAACTTGTCGTTCAGGGCGGACACGTACGTTGCACTGAACTTCAGGACGGCCCCGGCAAGAGCCGCCAGCATCGATATGCCGTCGGCGCGTTTTCGTCAAAGTAAAGGCATGGCGCCTCGTCCGCGAACCCGCAGAGCTCGAAGGCTAACGCCTAGTTTGCTTTGGTGTAGGCCAGGTTGTCGTGCACCAGTGACGTGTCCAGGTCCGGGTCATGAAGGACCAGTTGCACCGCATCAGCAAAGCCTGCACTCTGCAAGCCGCACCAGCTGGCAAGCTTGGTGTTGACCTACGTGCGCCACGACTTGACCGACAGGAGTGCCCGGGGACCTTTCGGCAGGGCGTGGAGCGACTGCCTGGAGCTGCTGCCGCCCCCGCCGCCGCCGGATTGCATGGCAGACAGCTCACGCGCGACCACTGAGAGGCTCTCCCCAAGTTGCACATGAGGAAAACGTTCACGTCAGGTGGGGCGTTCGGTGCTGCTGTTGTTGGAGTTGCCTGTGGTGGCGTAGGTAACCCTGATGGCTCCACCTGGCGCCCAGCTGGGCGAGACGCCTCGCCACGACTCCCAGCCCAGAGGGGCACAGGTGCTGCTTGCCTACCTGCGTGTGCTGGTGTTTGTGGTGATGACCTACGTGTCTACGGTATTTTCGGAACGACGGAACATCAGCCGACGGCCGAGGAGTTACTTCAACCAGATCGTCGTCATCGTCGGGGATCCGAGGAGATGCAGAATCCACCATACGATCGATCGCGTGCGAGCGCGGGCGAAGGCTAAGGGGCAGGTGCGGGCACTGGAGCGAAGGGCTCAGAACCTGAGGTGGTGGAGGTCCCGCCCGGCGCGGCCTTTTCCCTGGGGTCTTGAGCCGAGGGGCCCATGCAGGGTGACAACCTGGGGCCTGTCCCCGCACCCTCCTCCTCTTCCTCCTCCTCCATCATCATCATCACCATCATCATCATCATCGTCATCACCATCATCAACATCATCATCATCGTCATCACCATCATCAGCATCATCATCACCACCATAATCATCACCACCACCACCACCATCATCACCATCATCATCACCACCACCACCGCCACCACCACCACCACCACCATCATCATCATCATCACCATCATCATCATCATTAGCATCAGCATTATCATCATAATGATCATCACCATCATCATGATCATCACCATCATCATCACCATCACCATCATCACAACCACTATCACCATCATCAGTATCCTCCTCTTCCTCCCCCTCGTCCTCCTCCTCCCTCTCCTACTCTTATAAAAAATAGTTACGCGTATTAGTACTCATAGTATTGTTATCCTAACTCGTATTAGCATTCGTAGTATTACTATTAGCAAGATTCATTACATTATTAACACTATAAATACAAGAAGTATGACTACTACTGTTATTCGTATTAGCATTAGTCTCACTCTTAGTATTCCCATGGTTCGTATTATTATTGTTGGTCGGATTCGTCGTACTATGACTAGGTTGCTTGGTATGAGTAATTGGAGTACGATGCGTCTTATCAGTATTAGTATTATTCTTATTCGTAAAATGAATAATAGGATGAGTACTACGATTCTTGTTCGCAGCACTACTGTACTTATATTTGTGGTTTGTATTGTCGTTCGTAGTATTACTTACGGGTATTAGGACGAGTAAAACTGTTATGTTTACTATGTGTACGATTAGTATTAGTATTACCAGTGCTACTCGTAATGTTAGTATTAGTAGTATGGATTTCATTCGTACGATAAGTGTTGTTATTAGTTGTCGTTTCATGATGTGTCTCCTTCTTCGTCTTATTCTTAGCCTGAGTATAAGTATTACGTTTCCTACTGATATCACGCGTAGTATGCACTTTATGATTGTGATCAATAGCACAGTTGTAATATGATTAGTGGCCGTACTTTTTGACGATTAGTATTACCATGAATATTACGATTGTCATTCGTATTCTTACTTGTCTGAATGAGGGGGGGGGAACGGTCATTCACTGTCCCTGGGTGCGTGGCTGAAGTGGGATTCCGCGGTGCGGATTACTGTTGTTGTTGTTGTTTGTTGTTGCTGTTGTCTGTTGTTGTTGTTTGTTGTCGTCGTCCCACCCGCAACCCGCCCCGCGACCCACGCCGCGACCCACGCCGCGACCCACGCCGCGACCCACGCGCGACCCACCCGCGACCCACCCGCGACCCACCCCGCGACCCACCCCGCGACCCACCCCGCGACCCACCCCGCGACCCACCCCGCGACCCACCCGCGACCCACCCGCGACCCACCCGCGACCCACCCCGCGACCCACCCCGCGACCCACCCCGCGACCCCCGCGACCCACCCGCGACCCACCCGCGACCCACCCCGCGACCCCCGCGACCCACCCGCGACCCACCCCCCCCGCGACCCACCCGCGACCCACCCCGCGACCCACCCCCGACCCACCTTCGACCCAAACCACGTTCAAGGTACAAACCCCTATTTTCGGCGCCTGCGGCTGGTTTTTTTTGTATTTTTTCCAGGTGGAGAGCCCGCGACCCACCCCGCGACCAACTCGCGACCAACCCGCGGCCCAAACCACGTTCAGGGTACAAACCACATTTTTCGGCGCCTGCGGCGGGCATCTTCTGCATTCGTTTCAAGTGGAGAGCTCGCGGCCCACCCGCGACCACGTTCAGGGTACAGACCAATTTTTTCGGCGCCTGCGGCGGGCATCTGTTGCATTCGTTCCCGGTGGAGAACCCGCGGCCCACCCGCGACCCAAACCACAGTCAGTGTACAAACCAATGTTTTCAGCGCCTGCGGCGGGCTGCAGTTGCATTCTTTCTAGGTGGAGGTGGAGAGCCCGCGACCCACCCGCGACCCAAACCGCGTTCACTGAACAAACCAATGCCGCACAAGCGCGGCGGCGGATTTTTGCATGCCGTCTGAGCCCGCAACGACTTCTTCAAGCCCCGCGCATCCGCACCAGCCCGTCCAGCAATTTTGTCCTGGCGAGTTGCCTTGATCAGAGAGGTCGGGGAGCACAAAATGGAAAAAAGGACTGCGTTGCCGTTATCTTGGGGAACGAGGGAGAGGCAGAAGAAGTAAACAGGGGACGAGGAGGACGCGGAAGAAGAGAGGATGTAAGGAGAATGTGGAGAAAGAAGAGGAGGAGGAGCAGGAGGACGAGGAGGGGGAGGAGGGGGAGGAGGGGGAGGAGGGGGAGGACGACAGAGGACGATGATGGAAGGACGAGGGGGGGAGGGGGAGAACGAGGAAGAAGAGGAGGAGGACGAGGTGGAGGAGGAGGATGACGATGACGATGAGGACGAGGACGAGGACGAGGAAGAGGAGGAGGAGGAGGAGGAGGAAGAGGAGGAGAGGGCCATCGACATGGAAGGTGGGGGCCACGAGGTCCGCCGGCTCGACGACGCCCGCGTCGCCCCCGCCCGCCCCCTCACGCTTATCCGCAATTGCGGGGTGCTACGTAATATCTTTTTTCTTGTTTTTGCTCCTCCTCCTCCTCCTCCTCCTCCTCCTCCTCCTCCTCCTCCACCCCTCCTTCCCTTCTTCGCTCCGTCCCTCCGTCCCTCCGTGTCTCCGTGCCTCCGTCCCTCCGTCCCTCCGTCCCTCCGTCCCTTCGTGCCTCCGTCCCTCCGTCCCTCCGTCCCTCCGTACCTCCGTCCCTCCTCCCGCCTCCCTCCTCCCCCTCCTCCTCCCTCTCCGCGCGCTTCCTCGCGCGCTGACGCCGACGGCAACGACGGGGCCGATGCCGATGCCGCCGATCAACGAAGACGGCGCCGACGACGCAGACGCCGACACCGCCGACGCCACCGACGCCCATCCCGACGGCGCCGATGCCCGACGCCGTCGCCGCCAACACCGATTCCGACTCCGACGGCGACGACATCGGCGACGCCGTCGACGCCGTCGACGACGACGACGACGACGACGACGACGCCGACGCCGACGACGACGACGACGACGACGACAACGACAACGACGAGAGCCCGGGCCCACCACCCAGGCCGCGCGCGCCAGCAGCAGGAGCGCCGCGGTGGCGACCAGCGCCGGATTGTCGGCGGGGGCGACCGGCCACCGCTGCTCCATGGCCGCGGCGGCGGGAGAAGGGGGAGGGCGGGGGCGGAGAGTGTTGCCCTCGGCCGTCGACGTGTCGGGGAGGGGCCCTCTCCCAGCCTCCCCATGAGCACCAAGTGGAAGGGGAGGGGGAGGAGAAGGAGGAGAAGGATCAACTTTACCCTTGCGCCCTGACGACCCCGAATCATGCAACAGCACCATCCCTGGGCCTTCAGCACCGCGAACAAGCGTAATTGATTGCTGCGCCCCGGCAATGCTACAACGTGCAGAAACACCGTTCACTAGATGTCAGCCATAGCGTCAAAACTGTGTTGTACTAACAAGACGATAGCGCGGCGCTAAAGTGAGAGCCGCGTCGTGCAAAAAGACCGTTCTCAAATTCGTGAGACGGCTGCAAACGTTTAAGAAGAATATACGCGGCGCTAAGGCGAGAACAAAAATTGCAGAAGAAGGAGCCCTCCAGGAGTGAACATCTTGCAAACGCTTGCAACGAACGTGCACGGTGCTAAAGCAAGAGTCACTGGAAAAGGAAACGCACTCCACCCACGAAGCACTTTCAAACGTTTAAAACAAATGCGCGCCGCACTATGGCGAGAGCAACATTTGGCAAAAGTGCCGCCCTCCATCCATGACACTCTTGCTAACTTTGAAGACGAACGTGCGCGGCGCTACGGCGAGAGCCACTTGCGGAACAGAAGCCGCATTCCGTCCATGAAGCTCTTGCAAACGTTTGCAACGAATGCGCGCGGCGCTAAAGCGGGAGGCACAGCTGGAAAAGGACCCGCCCTCCATCCGTGAAGCTGTTGCAAATGCTTATAGCGAGTGCGCGCGGCGCTCAGGCGGTTGCCACAATTGGAAAAAAAGGCCCGCCCTCCATCCGTGAAGCTCTAGCAAATGTTGACAACGAATGCGCGCAACGCTAATGCGATAGCCACACTTGGAAAAGGACCCACCACTCATCCGAGCAGCACGTGCAGCGACCATCAACGAACGAGGGCCGCACCCTCTGGAGGCAGCCCGCCCTCCGTCGGCGAGGCTCCTGCGAACGTTGAAAAAGACGCGTGCGCGGCGCTACAGCGAAGACCACGTTAGGAACTTGGGCGTGGCTTAATGGGGGGGTCACAAATGGGGGGGTCAGAAAAGGTCCCCTTTCGTGCCCCTTTCGGGCCCCTCCAGAGCCCCAGGGGGCTCGTTTAGGTACCGTTTGGGCACCTTTTCGAACCACCCTCGCCACCCCCCCATTTATGACCCCCCATTACGCGGCGCCCAGGGAACACGGCCCGCCCTCCGTCCACGAGGACCTCCTAACCGCAGCGCCGGGGCGACGGCCACATGGTGAAACCGGCCCGCCCTCCCGCCATGAAGCCTGCACGGTGTGGAGCCTCGGGATCACGAAGGACGAAACGAAACGCCCGACCCGCCCTACGGACAGGTCTCTGGGTGCGGCAGGCAGGATGGAGGAGGAGGAGGAAGGAAGGGAGAGAAGAACAAGAGCTAAAAAAGAGGATGGAGGAGGAGGGGGAAGAAGGAAGGAAAGAGGAGGATGATAAGAGAAAGGAGGGAGGAAGGAGGAACGAGGAGGCGGATAGGAAAAAGGGAAAGAAGGGGCGCAGATCTGGGGTGAGAGCGACGAAGACGAAGAGGAGGGACGGGAGAGGCAGAAACGAAAACTCAGCGTCTAGGGTCCCACATCGGCGCAGTCCGCGACCACACCTTGAGCAGAAAAGGCTAGCACCGTAGGTCGGCCCCAAGCCTCCTCCTCCTCCTCCTCCTCCTCCTCCTCCTCCTCCTCCTGTTCTTCCTCCTCCTCCTCATCCTCCACCGCATCTTCCTCCGCGTCCTCCTCCTCCTCCTCCTCCTCCTCCTCCTCCTCCTCCTCCTCCTCCTCCTCCTCCTCCTCATCGACGATTTTCCCCCGATAGGAAACTCCTCCCTATCGCACCCCAAAACGTGTCGGTGGAGCGGGCCCCGCGTTTCGCCTGCCACGCCCTCACTGTATATGGTCTCGACGCTGGAAAGTGGCGGAAGCTTCACGGTGGGAGGGCGGCTATGTTTCAATAGGTGGTTTTCGCCTGGGCGCCGAACACAATCGTCTTAAAAGCTTGCAAGAGTCTCACGCATGGAAGGCGGCTCCTTTTCAAAATGTGGCTCTCGCCTAACCGCCGCGTGCATTCGTCTTAGAAGTTCGCAAGCGTTTCACGGATGGAAAACTTCTCCTTTTCGAAATGTTACTCTCGCCGTAGCGCCACGAATCTTAGACGTTTGTAAGAGCTTCACGGATGGAGGGCGGCTTACTTCCAAAATGTGGCTTTCGCGTGAGCGCCGCATGCAATCGCCTTAAAAACTCACAACACGTTCAAGGATTATTATAGATCACGTACCAGAAACAATGTTCTGGCATTGCTCAAGATTGTCAGGGCGCAACAGTCACGTTGATTCGCGGCATTGAAATCCCAGGAGCGGCGTTCTGGCACGATTCAGGATCGTCTGGAGGCAACAGTAACGTTGATTCTCGGCGCCGAAATCCGCCGACCCTCTCGGCGTGTGTGAGGGGCTTCCCCGTTCGAGTCGGGTTTCTCCATTCGAATCGTCGTCTCCGTCGTCATCCGTTCCATTTCTCTGGGCCCGCCTCCTCAAGCGCGCCATCCAAAGCGAAATTGAGCAACGTAGAAATGGAGTCGAAGGGAAGCCCCCTCCCTGTGATCCCTTCTCCGCGGGGAATGGGGGGTTCCCAGGGGGGTCCCAGGGGGGTCCCGGGGGGTTCCCGGCGGGGCCCCGAAGGGGTCCCAGGGGGGTCCCAGGGGGCGTCCCCACCCAGATACGCTTCCCCCCCCGCGCAGTCCTGGAAGCCCGAAGGGTTCTCCACGAGACCCCCACGAGGCCACTGGCGCCCTGAGAGCAGGGTGCCTTGACGGAGGAACCGAACGGACATTTCGAGCCCTCGGCCCCGAGAGGATCCCAGGAGGCCCCAAGAGGCCCCCAGGAAGCCCCAAGAGGCTCCCAGGCTCCCAAGAGGCTGCCCAGAGGCTCCCAAGATGCTCCCAAGAGGCCCCAAAGCTTCCCCTCAAAGGCCTCCGAAAGCCCTTCGAAGATACCCCAAACAGCATGCCTGAGGACTCGGACCAACGTCAGCGTCGTCGTCGTCGCCGCCGCCGCCGCCGCCGTCGTCGTCGTCGTCGCCGTCGTCGTCGTCCACCTTCAGGGTCGGCGGCGCCAGCCGCAAGGCCTTCGCGATCCCAGAGTTTGTGCTTTGGCACGATTGAGGGCTTCCCACAAACCAAAAACAATAAATCTATAACTCTGTGGGTACCTATGAAAACGGAATCTGAAAGACGCGTTTATTGCATCCTCGATGATGAATATTGGGTTTACAACTGTCCTCCTTCTCCTCCCTTCCGCACCACCGGACGCGTTCGCAGGCCAGGCCGGGCGTTTCGCCTGCGACTTCCTCGCCAAGCTGGATCGTGAAGCTTCAGGAATGTAGTAACTTCAACACTGGAAGCCGGGTCCTTTTTCAAAGTGCGGTTCTCGATTTAACGCCGCGCACATGCGTTGTCAAATGCGCGGTTGCTTCAAGGATGGAAAGCGGCTTCTTTTGAAAGCATGGATCTCGCCATAGCGCAGCGCACATTCGTTTAGAAATTCACGGCAGCTTCATGGATGAATGTTGGTTCCTTTTTCAAAAGTGGTTTTCGCCCTAACGCCGCGCACGCTTGCTCGCACAAATTTGCGACAACACCAACGACTGAAGCCGATTATTGTTCAGAATGTGGTTCTCGCCCTATCGCCGCAGCCGCGCACATCCACGCGACCCAACCGTCACCATCCGATGCGAATGATAGAAGTCCTGCTTACACCCATACGACATTACTCTCAGCATCATGTGAAGAAACATTCGGCTCGCATCCATACGATCCAAGCCTCACCATTCTGAACAACAATTACCATTCGGCGCGCATCCGCCCGAACCAACCCTCACCATCCGATGTAACATGGTGCATTAACTGTACATCCATACGACCCACTTCCACCATCCGACGTAAGACATATTATTCGGTTTACGCCCATCCGGCCCAACGCCCACCACCCTACGCAAATTTCGCACAACGGCGCACACCCATCCAACCCAACACTCACAACCCTGTCAAAACATACACTCGGCACGCAAATGCTGGTCCTCAACATCGACCAACCCCTGGCCCCGAAGAGCCCCTGGGAAGAGGAAGAAATTACGAATCAATCTATCACAAATACGTAACAAATCGATACGTTTCGGGCACCCCTCGCTGACTCCGGATGCTGGAACCAAGCGCTCCCCAGGCTGGCCCAGGCGCTCCGAGACGCTCCAAGAGATTCCCAGCCGCTCCCAGGCGCCGCAATCCCTCCCCTAGCGCCCCCAGGCTCGCCGTCGCCACCAGCAGCAATAGCATCAACATCCTCATTTTCATCGTCCTCGTCGCCGCAAGAGGCCTCTAGGAGCAAATGATTTCTAGTTGCATTGACGTGTGGTCCACAGATGCGTTTCACAGCGGGGCTTTCGCATGCTCTCGCTTTACTGGCACCGCACACCATCGCTCACTCAACCACAAAGACAGATAGACGGCGGGTCGTTTGAAAAGAGGGGATCTCGCCCTGGCGCCGCGCATACTCCCTTTCCAGATTGTCCCCAACTACACGAGTGGGCAACGAGTACTTTCGAAATCGATAAGGGGCATGTTTACACATTTCGCGGGCGAACCCTTGAATGAATTCGAGCACGCAGCGCGCAGAAGCCCAAACAGGTCTTGCACTACGCCCCACGCGCCACGCCCACGCGCGCCGAGCCCGCTGCTAACCGGCTACTCGCCGCGCGGCCTCGCTGCAGCCACCACAGCCGCTAGGGCCGCCCCGACAGGCGGGCCAGCTCACGCCCCCCGACATGGCGGCGAAGCCAGGCCAGACGCCGCGGCCCCATCGCGCCCACCTGCACACGCGGCTGCCACAGAGCGCGCGCCTCGCCGCTGGGGAGCCCCGTCGAGCAGCGCGTCCGACTCGGCCCCGTACCCCACGTTGTCGAGGAAGCCTGCCTCGCCAGCCTCCTCGAGCCTTCTTTCGGTAGCCGCCGCCCCCGCCGCAGAGAGCGACGCGATCTCCACGGCATCTGCGGCGGTGATGAGACCCCCCCTGGCCGCTCGATGGAGCTTGCACGGCGCCGACGCTGTCCACGGTCAGCTCCATGGAGTTCAGCCTCGCGCCCTCCCATTATTGCTGCTCGCGCGCGTCGGCCAGCTCCCGCGCCCGCGAGGCTCGGGCTGCTAGCTGCGCGAATCGCGCCTGGAGGCTCTCGAACGCCTCGGCCCGCTCCAGACGCCTCGCGAGCGGCTCCTCCCGCTGGTCATCCGACTCCTGGCCCCTCGCTCCTGCGGCGCTCTCGTCGCGCGGGGTCTCCTCGGCGCCGGGCGCGCCGAGCCGAGCGCGGGCCGCGCGCTCCCGCGCGCGCCACCAGGTAGCCCCCACAACGGCATCGCAGCGCACGGCCACTGCGACCCTCCCATCGCGCGATTGGTCGCTGCCGCCGCCGTTTTGCATCGCCGCACTGTAGCGGCCCAGGCGCTCCAGGACGTCGCCGCTGGGCCCCGAAAAGGCGGCGGGGATGGCAGAGCAGGCCGCGGCCACATCCGCCTCTCCCGCACCAAGCCCCGCGCCGAGGCTGACCTCCTCGCTGCTGCTGCAGTCGCCCTCACTGCCCTCACACCCGCTGGCCGCGGCATACGGCGGCGGTGCGAAGGCGCCAGCGGCACGGCCCTCAGCACCAGCACTGGCAGCCGCAGGCCCGTTGCGCCCCACCCGCGCACCCTCCATGAGCACCTCGGAGGCGGCGCGCCCCCCGGCTCGGGGGCGCACGGCACGGCGCCCTCCCTGAGTGGGAAGGCCTGCAGCTTGAGCACCGACTCGAGGGAGGTCGCAGGGACGACACGCGGCATGGCAGGGGCCCTGCGGGCGACTGGCGGGGCCGCGTGGCGAAACCAATTCGCCGCTTCCAGCGGCGACTGCTCCTCGCAGAAGTCGACCAGCGGGTCGGGCTGGCCCGCGAGCACCTGGGCGGCGGCGAGGGCCTCCCCCACGCACGCAAAGCGGGCGCCCAGCGCGTCGCTGACGGCCCAGTGCGCCGCGAGGCTTGCCCTCAAGGACTTCGTTCTCCAGGCGAGGGCGCACGCTCGGGGCCCCCCAAGCCCCGCGCCGCGCCGCCAGGCGCCTCCATCGGCCTCTTGCGCGCACCCGACGCGCCCGACGGGCGCGCAGCGCAAGGGCCTCCCGCAGTATTAGGCAGCTGAGAGGGCCGATTCACGATGTTTGAACTTGCTGGCCAATGCTCAAAGCAGACACGCAGCTGCGTTCGCAATCGCCTCGCTGTCACGCCCCAGAAGCGCGGCCCCTGGAATGGGTAAAACAGCCCGCCCCCCGACGGACCGAGAACGGGATTTCCGCGGTCACAGTCGAGGCGCCGCCAGAAACCGAAACTATCTGGAGAACCCTGGCCCCCCACCCCCCCCCCCACCCACCACCTTCCCACCCCCTGCTACCCGGGGCGCTGGCGGGACGCCTCGGCGCCACATCTACTGCGGCATGTCGGCGCGCGCCCCGAGCTCCTCCTCCAAATACCCTGCGGGCGCCTGGCCCATCGTCGTCACGGCCCCTATCTGCTCCATGCTCGACCTCATCGGCTTCCTCAGGTTGAAGCCAGGAACGGCCAGCTCTATCTTCACCTCTGCCTCGTCGAAGCATTTCTCGAGGCGGCACGCGTGGCACATCTGGATCAAATCCCCTGGATCGCGCCCCCTCACGTGGCCCATGAGGGCCTCCAAGTACTTGCGGTTCTGGGCCCCCGCCTCATCCCCCATCAACTGCTTCGCCATGTGCACGCTCCGCGCTGCATGGCTAAGACGACTTTGGCATTGACCTCCAGGAGGCACGCATCGCACAATTGGCCCCTGATCTCTCGGAGCTGCTTCGCGTCGATGATGAGCTGCTTCGGCATCGCCTTCACGCCCGGGTCCGCGATCTTCATCTCTTTCGGCTGCTCCTTGTTGCGGCGGCGGGCACGTGGCCCTTGCCCTCCCGCGTCTCCGCCTCGCCCCCCCCGCGGCGCCCCACCCCCCCCCGCCCCCTGCCCTCGCCCATCTCGGGGCCCTTCATCTGGGGGGGCCAAGCGGGGGTCGCCATCTCCAACCACAACTCGTAGCTCTCCCGCTGGTGGCACAGGAATGCGCGCGAAGAGGTGGCGTTCAAGCTCCGCAGAGGTCTCGAACTCAACAGCTGCGGAACATACTGGACACGCTCGACCAAGCGGCGCGATAAACTGATGTGAGAATCTCGTTCGGGTCGCGCAGCATCTAGAGTGATTCCAGGATTCTCTGAAGTGCGTATATGTCTCGTGCGTAGTCCTGAACACCGTCGAGCAAATCAAACATCGGTTCGATCGCGTGGGCGAGTAAAGAATATTGGGTCGTCCGTGCCAACCGCCCAAAGCTGCGACACGCTGATGTGCCTTCAAGCCATTTCGTGTTCTAGCTCGATGTTGGCATATGGACCCCCCCCCCCCCCCCTCCATCTCCAACCCACACACGTAATCACCAAGACCCTCATCCCCAATAGGAGCAGCAGGCGGCGGCAGCAGCGGCGCAGTAGATGGCGGTGGGATGGCGGCGGTCGAGAACTTCTTTAGCACGCGTCTCGCGTCGATGTTACTCAGGGCCTGGACGACGTTATCCTGGAAATGCGTGGCAACCTTACGGCCCCCCCAAAGCTCGTTAAACTCCCCCGCCCCCTCGCCCTCGGCCTAGCCCAGGAGATCCCCCCCCCAAAAAAAAAAATGACGGGCCCAGGGATTCGTCTTCGGGTCCACGTTGATTTTGCCGTCCACTATCGTAGGCGGGGCGACGGGTCATCCAGGGTCTCCTAATTCATTGGCTCGATCGCGTTCGCGCCAGAACCCACATCTGCCCAGGAGCGCAGCCCACCACTGTCGAGACTGTCGTCGATATCGCAGAGCACGTTTGCACCACGTTCGACGACGAACCTCAAAGGGCAAGGGATGCCGGGGCCAGGCTCGAGCACTTCAAAACTGCAGCGTTGCTCATCAACTGTTTTTAACCGCTGGGGTCAATCCACGGGGCCTGGCCCGTCATCATACATCTAAGCTTACGAACAGCGGCTCCATCTAAACAGTCCCCATCCCCCTTCGTCAACACGTTAGCTTCACGGCCACTTAGACGAACTAGCGTTATAGACCACTCCCAGGACAAGCAAACGCTTGAAATCATAAGGGATCTTCGAATTTTGCCAAACCCCCGAATAAACACACCAACCAATAGACATACTCTGGAGCGCTTGTCCACATCAGTACTGCTAGTACATGCTGGGGTCGTCCATCCTCCAAAATGGCGCGACGCATGCAAAAGAACACATGGTAGTTGTTTATGTATAGCAAGTTCATGTACGTGTTGACGAATATCTTATGAGACTATGATGTCCTCCTTCGAGCGAATCCGCTCGTAGCCCCTCGCCGCAGCCGCAAGTCAAAGCATCGCCCCCCGCATTTTGGTAGGCAATACATTCAGACGGCGCCCCAGGAGACAGTAACATCACGCGAAAAAGGTCATCGACCAATCCGACAAGGCTCGGATCGATGTCGCCGAAGTCAGGAACATCAAAAATACTCCATGGGGCCGAGGTCGCGGCCGTTCGTGATCCTCGCCGGTGCTCGACCAGGGTGTAGTAATCTCTCATAAAAGGCTCAGGCTTGTCGCTGCTGCATCCCATGGGCCCTCCGCTTCCTATGCGCAGCCATAGGTCGCCATCAAAAGCTCGCAATCGCGCGCGGAGGGCGCCGCGCCGCTTACGAGAAAGGGGCTGAAGGTGGAACGGGGCGAACTCGCTATCTGATTAAAACGTCGAGCGTGGGCACCACATGCAAAGGCATTAGTCAGATCATGGCTCCGACCCCCGCAGCTTTGCTTCGCAGACTTAGCTTTCCAAAAATTAGCCTGGCGAACGACCCAACCATATGCAGTTGTGAATACCGCAAATATGAATACCGTTTTCGGTGGCGCTACCTCTGGGACCACCACACGTGCATGGGGCGTGCCGAAATGCGCGGCGGGGTCCACAACACGAACGAAGACGACAGGTCTGAGCACGAGAGATAGAGCGAGCGTGAGTTCGATTGTGAACGAGTCTGTGCGCGAGCGATTCTATGCGCCTGAGTGTGAGCATGACTAGACTGTAAACGCCTGTGTGAGCTTATGGTTTGAATAAGACTGCCTGTACGTACTCGTGACACTGAGCATGGCCGCCGCAGGGTGCTTGCCCGAAAACCCCGACGGCAGCGCCCGCGCGCCGCGACGCCCATGTCGGCGCGCCCCATCACGTGGATCGCCCCCGTTTTTGTCCATACGTCTCCCTTTTCTTCGCCCGCGCACTCCAGTGTCCAAGGAGTCCAAAGCTACAGGCGCAGCGCAGCACGGAGTCCCCGCGACGCACGCCGGTCGCCCCGAAGGGGTCCCAGCGGCGCGCACGGGTCGTCCGCTGCGCGGAGCGGAGCGACGGAGACGGCGATTGACGACGACGACGACGACGACGACGACGACGACGACGACGACGACGACGACGACGACGACGACGACGACGACGACGACCACGACCACGACCACGACGACGACGACGACGACGACGACGACGACGACGAACCCGATTGAGGCCGTCGGTGGAGCTCCCTATGGGGCCACAAAACGCTGTCCTGGGTGGGGGAGACGCATGCGAACGCCCCCATTGCGACCTTCGGTGGAGCTCCCTATGGGACCACGAAACGCTGTCCTGGGTGGGGGAGACGCATGCGAACGCCCTCAGTGGGGCCGCCATGAAACGCTGTCCTGTCCTGCGCGGGGGAGACGCATGCGAACACCCCGATTGAGGCCTTCGGCGGAGCTCCCTATGGGGCCACGAAACGCTGTCGTGGGCGGGGGAGACGCATGCAAGCACCCTCAGTGGGGCCTTCGGTGGAGCTCCCTATGGGGCCACGAAACGCTGTCCTGCGTGGGGGAGACGCGTGCGAACACCTCCACTTGGGTTTTCGGTGGAGCTCCCTATGGGGCCATGAAGCGCTGTCCTGCGCGGGGGAGACGCACGCTAACACTCCGATTGAGGCCTTCGGTGGAACTCCCTGTGGGGCCACGAAGCGCTGTCGTGGGTGGGTGAGACGCATGCGAACACCCCCACTGGGGCCTTCGGTGAAGCTCACAATGGGACCACGAAACGCTGTCCTGGGTGGGGGAGACGCATGCGAACGCCCCCAGTGCGACCTTCGGTGGAGCCCCCTATGGGGCCACGAAACGCTGTCCTGGGCGGGGGAGACGCATGCGAACACCCCCACTGGGGCCTTCGGTGGAGCCCCCTATGGGGCCACGAAACGCTGTCCTGGGCGGGGGAGACGCATGCAAACACCCTCAGTGGGGCCGCCATGAAACGCTGTCCTGTCCTGCGCGGGGGAGACGCATGCGAACACCCCGATTGAGGCCTTCGGTGGAGCTCCCTATGGGGCCACGAAACGCTGTCGTGGGCGGGGGAGACGCATGCAAGCACCCTCAGTGGGGCCTTCGGTGGAGCTCCCTATGGGGCCACGAAACGCTGTCCTGCGCGGGGGAGACGCGTGCGAACACCTCCACTTGGGTTTTCGGTGGAGCTCCCTATGGGGCCATGAAGCGCTGTCCTGCGCGGGGGAGACGCACGCTAACACTCCGATTGAGGCCTTCGGTGGAACTCCCTGTGGGGCCACGAAACGCTGTCGTGGGTGGGTGAGACGCATGCGAACACCCCCACTGGGGCCTTCGGTGAAGCTCACAATGGGACCACGAAACGCTGTCCTGGGCGGGGGAGACGCATGCGAACACCCCCACTGGGGCCTTCGGTGAAGTTCCCTACGGGGCCACGAAACGTTGTCCTAGGTGGGGGAGACGCATGCGAACACCCCGATTCTGGCCTTCGGTGGAGCTCCCCATGGGGCCACGAAACGCTGTCCTGGGCGGGGGAGACGCATGCG